TGCTAAGGCAATTAGTGGAATTTTAGATTGCCTCACAATGAATTTCTAATCATATATATATTTTATTTATTCATTTCTGTTATAAATGCATGAGATCTGAAGCTTAGGTATTAGCGACGTGTAATTGGATTACTAGATTAACTTGATGAAAGAATTCTAAAACAAAACAAAAAGAACCGGTCATTCAACTGGCNATATATAATAATATATCTATATTACCTATAATATATAATAATATATCTATATTATCTATAATATATAATAATATATCTATATTATCTATAATATATAATAATATATCTATATTATTTACAATACATAATAATATATCTATATTATCTATCAATATCATCAACATCGTTATTGGTGTTGCTAAAAAACCGACACTCCGTCGTTAACATTTTCGTTGCATTTTCCCAAAACAGGAATCATCTGATCGACAAAAAAGACTGGATAGAGCTGTTCTAGGGAATGATCCGCGAAAATGTGAAATCGCGTAAGAATTTACGGGACGATTTTCAGTCTAAAAATAGGAGTGGCAGATGGACGGCAGGGAAATTGACGTTTCGACGCAGGAGCAGCAGCAGCAGACGGTCCCGCGATGGAATCGTCTTCGGAAGCGTGCAAACGGTCTCGCGAGACCGAGCGTTTTGCAAGCGTAATTGGCGGGCCGGATCGGGCTGAGAGATTGCATTGTGGGGCGAACTGGCGCGTAAACAAAGATCAGCTTTCCTCTCGGCGCCGTTTCGCAACGGGGGCCGTTGGTTTCGGCTATCGACAGAGCCGATCGGGCTCGCCGATCCGCGATATCGATTCGCAACGGGGGATTCCGCGGTTCGCGCGCGTTTGCGAAATCGGCGGGCGCAGCTGCCGCGCGATATATTTAAGCTGCGGAGACGGTCTATTGGTAAACGAACCGGAATCTGGGCCAGTTACAACACCTGTCGGCGAACACGACCCGGTCGAAACCTTTTTGCTAAGCCGAGTGCCAAATTTCCCGTCGCCAAAACCGCGATTCCAGCGCCGGCGGCGGTGCGGCGCACCTCGGCGCTGATATTTGGCACGGGCATACGAGATTTTCGATCGGCCCACCGTTCGGTACGTGCAAAATAACCGGGCACGTTGTAATCTGATTACACGACCGACCAAATGTAACTGTAATTCCGCTGCCTATTCCTCTAATGCCGGGTATTGTTGATTACAAGGTAGTCGGTTTGTTTAAATATTAGTTGCGGCCTGATAGTAATTAAGGAAATTACGGAGAGGTGAGTTGTGATCGAATCTGCTACAGTGAAATTTTAATTACGCGGTCTGAGCAGAGTAATATAAATATTCGGATGTTAACACGTTCGTTGTCAGCGTCACTGGTAGTACATAATTATATTTATTGTATTTATCGTATTAAATACATCGTATCTTCTTACAAAATATGATAAAAATGTCGTCAAAGAGAAGCTACAAATTCTGTAAATATCATGTTATTTGTTACAATTTTAAGTAATAATGTTCACGGAATTAATTTGACGTTCGTCACGCGAAATATAAAATCGTGCTTGTCACACATGTGCGACGCTGGTAGCGGACGTGTTAAAACAGTTACCTAATTGCAGTGCCAGATTGCATCTTTAGTCATTTGTGCTGTAAATCGTTTTGCATAAGGGTTGCCATAGATTGAGCTGATTATATGTAAGAAGTTGTTACATAATAGATAATCTTGATATTGAAGGACCAGGTGCTCGACGTATATATTTCGTTTTGCTTTTTGGCAGACTGCAGATCTTCGCGCAGAGGAGAAATATGCTAAGGCAATTAGTGGAATTTTAGATTGCCTCACAATGAATTTCTAATCATATATATATTTTATTTATTCATTTCTGTTATAAATGCATGAGATCTGAAGCTTAGGTATTAGCGACGTGTAATTGGATTACTAGATTAACTTGATGAAAGAATTCTAAAACAAAACAAAAAGAACCGGTCATTCAACTGGCATTGGTAGCCTGGTGAAATAGTTCGTGGAACAATCAATCATTCGCGTTATCTGATAAATATGATCGACGTACAATCGCTGTAGTTTTCTGTCATTCGTTCGTCATCCGATTATTACATTAAGAAAATTACCAGGAAAAATTTCAATAAAAGCCTCACAAAAAAATCTCCATCTATCCTCGAGTTGTTTCCTAATTTCCTCCGAGATCGAGCTGCATTATCTACGGGTTTCGCGTGTTTCGCCGAGCATGTATCCACGAGCGAGAAGATACACGATCGTACGTGTCGAAAATATCACAATGCACGTTCTACGTACCCCTTTTTGTTTCGATAACGTTGCGGGACGCGCGCTGATTTAATGGCACACAGTGACGCAGCCGGCGAACAATGTGCGCGGCGCGCGATACAAATTACAACTGTCAGCGGAGACACTCGTAAAGCGCCAATGACGATCCGATCTTCACGCCTACTCGGCCATAAGTCAATATTTACGATGCGGTTAATGCGGGAGGGTGAGAGCGACGCATACGGTTCGCTGGAAAATTTTTTTTGTTCGACACCCCTGCGCTGGAAAATTCAACCGTCTAGTTACCATAAACTCATCAATCTCCCCCGACGTCATAAATCCCCCGATACACGCAGTGTTCCTTTGAACCGAGCAATAAACTGTTTGCTCGGGAATATAAAAGGCTTGGCCACGTATTGTCTTCGTTGAAGCTTCATTATCGGTCTAGTAAACTCGGCAAATAAATACGCAGAAATCGGTCCTTGACTCTTGGCACAGATCGTATACAATGGAACACTAGGTCAATTGTCATGTTCATGTGACATGCATTATTGTTTTCATCTTGTAGTTCATTGTTTTAAATTCGTTAATTTGGATTAAATGGGACTTTCGATTGAGATCATTTGCATCAAGTGCCTTTTCTCTAGCTTTCAATGAAGTATAACCCGATTCATCTACTTGAAGGATTAACACGAACATCCAATGTTGATTGAAGCATTCGTGGTGTTATAATTACGTTGCGAATATTTATACCAAATAAAAATTCTTCGAGATGGAAAAAACAGAAATGGAATACAAAGAAATTGTTTCCTTGAGCGATTTTGTTAAGTTGAAAATAGCGTAGTAATATTATTAAATTCTCCTTTCGTCTTCGCGATTTTATATGTGACTCATTTTTGTCACGAACGCATAACATCTGCAGTTTAGTTATCAGTTACTCGAGTAATCCGTTCACGCTCGTGTCGGTATTTTATTTTCCTCTGAAAAAACGACCCTGAAGGGTCGTTTCCTTCTCAAGTAACGCGAATTCAAAAGTTGCTTAATCAGGCAAACGGCACGTTTGAATAAGTGAAAGTTAAAGAGACAGCGGATCGAAGACAGCAAGATGACGATGACAAAAACTTGACGAACGCGAAATTGTTGCATAACCCACAAAACGAAGCTAACGAGACAAAACCGACCAATTTGACTTCTCGTCGAACCGGGGTATCGGATCCCGCACGGTAAAAGAACACTTGGTCCTCGGATATCACATTCCACGTGACCACATTGATCCGCGGCTCAGGTGGGCGCTGTTATCTCCTCTCTCGAACTTCATCCCAGCCTTTATCACATACCAACTGTTCGTTATCGAAAGTGTCCCGCGCTATCGCCGCGTGTTTGTCAACAGTGCTGCATATCTTGGCGAGTGTGTGTCGCGATTACCTTCCTTTTCGAAAGGAACCTCGCGTGTGCACCTGTTCTCAGGCGTCCGTGTAAACGTCGGTCAAAGAGTCGCACAGAAGAGAAAGTGTAATCCGCACGGTCTACCAAACTATAACAAAGCATGGTAGAAAGAAGGAGGTCTGAAAAATCGTAAGGCATCGATGACCCCGACGGAATGTCCGCGAAGAAAGGAAAGCAGCCGCTGGAAAATACCGAGCACCTCGCAGCGAGTATCCTATAGAAGATTCCCTACGATCCCGTTCCCATGGCAGCGCTGGCGGAGCCTCGATTAGGCGCATACAATATCCAAGCTAATCCTGACAGAGAGCAACGTCATATGGTATCTAAGAATGGCCATAGACACCTACGAATTTAGGCCTACGGATCTCCGTCGAGCATCCCCAAAGCTTGCACAAACCGAACGGGGACTCATCGACGCAAACTAAAAGTAAACAAAACCAGGAGACATAAAACGTAGTCCACCTGGCATCCCAAAGGACCGAAGGACCGAAGGATCCTGTCAACTCGATATAACACTGAGACCCTGACCAGAACGATCCCTCTGAACATAAAAGTTATCTAAGAGTGGCCATAGACACCTACGGATTTGGGCCTACGAATCTCCATCGAGCATCCCCAAAGCTTGCACAAACCGAACGGGGTCTCATCGACGCAAACTAAAAGTAAACAAATCAGGAGACATAAAACGTAATCCACCTGGCATCCCAAAGGACCGAAGGACCAAAGGATCCTGTCAACTCGATATAACACTGAGACCCTAACCAGAACGATCCCTCCGAACATAAAAGTTATCCATCGCAGCAGCTACTCACTAGATCGGACCATCGACACCCAGGTTCTCCGAAGGCCCGCGATCATCCGCGGAACAAGCTATCCCCCGGCGGCTAGTGCGCATTAACACTTTCGCGGCTACTGAAGCTTGCTCCTCCCTTACCTCGGCACTCTCCGTCGCGAGCCTCGAACGACCAAGGATCCTCGCGGATCAACACCACCAGGTAGATCACTGCACCACGTTCCCGATCGATCGACCGCGCGCGCGTCAGTAGCAGCGAAAGTGGTAAAGTGGCACACCCGTTTCCGGCAGCCAGTGGGCGAGCATGATCATAGGTGGTCGGCGTCGTCGCCAGTGGTAGCACGAGGTCGCGGGTAAACACACTCGCGGCTCGGGATCCTTCTCGCGGGGGCTAGGGCCTACCTGTTCTACCCTGGGCAGAGCTGGACCATCACAAGAACGTACACGAGAGGCCGGACCTTGCACAACACGCGCGCGTATACACACCTTGTTACGCACGTGTTCTTGACAGGAGGGAAACGTGGATCGCGTGTGCCGGCCCCGATCAGCTTGCACTGCCCGCGGACACCCGCGGGTCGCTTCCTTTATCCTTGGTAGCCGGGAAACGGCGTCGGAGGCGGCGGCGGCAGCGGCGGCGGCCGCGCGGATGCGATCAGGCGGCGCGTGTCGTCTCTCCTCTCGCACGCACGTGTATGTTTACGCGTGCGTTTGGCTGTGTGTCGAGTGTAGGTGAGACCGTGTTTCACTGTTTGGTCGAGTCTGTGTTCCGGTGTCTCTGTTTACGCGTGTGTCTACGCGTGTTTCAGTGTGTGTACGGTAGTATGTGCATGTGTATGGGTGTATGTGTGTGTATGCATGTGTGTATATATATGTGTGTGTGTATGTGTGTGTGTGTGTGTGTACGGGAGCGCGAGAGCGCGTCGAGAGCCGTGACAGCGTGCACGGTGGTGGGCGAAAGAGCTGGGTCGGTTGAGGTAGTGTGCGGCTTGTGGGAGCGTGGGTGGCGGCGACGACGTGCCGCCGCGGCCTCGGTCTGTCGGATCGGACGCGCGTCGACGCTGATTACGGCGAGAGAACGTGATAGCAAGCGAGGAACGGTAACACGCAGCTCGGTGTGCCAGCGGAGACTGCCGGGTTCCCCTCGGTCTCACCGAGTGCTGGCCGGTATAGTGGAAAGATATATAGAACGCCTCGTAACGTGTGTATACACTGCTGCTGGATTCTGAACGGTCGGGCATGGAGGGGTTGGTCGGGAGGAAACGAGTCGGCGGGTACGCGCGGCTCCAGAGGGGGAGGGAAGCAGCGCCAGATAGAGAAGGAGAGCGAGAGAGAAAGATGGAAGAGGGAGGAAGAGAAAGAGTAAGAGGGGAGGATCGGGAGAATCCCGCGAGGGGAAGAGTTAGTGATAACAGAGAGAGCGCGCGAGGGTGCGACGCGAGGGGAGGGTTGCACGCTCTAGGCTCTGTGACCTAACCCGAGTCATCCTGGATGTACAATGCGCGACGCCGACGGGAGTGGAGGGGGGAACGGAGTCGTGTGGTGGGCTGGTTGCCGGTGGTGGGGAGAGTGCAAGGGCGAAGTGGTAGGGGAACAGTGAACGGGAAGAGGGGAGGATGGTGGTCATTAGTGCTACTGGGACACGGAAGCGAATCCTCGCTACCCTCCGACCCTCTCTACGGCCCGTTTCGCGACCCGGTACCGGTAACCACCCACTCTTTCCCACCTCTTTCTCGCTCTCTTTCTCCCAGTTTCTTCTCTTTCCTGCCGTATAACTCGCCGCTCTTCTCCTGTCCCGTTCTCGTAGCCACGCGCTTCCTTCTCGCGCTTCCCGTCGAGAGTGCACGTAACAAGCGGCCCGGGGGTGTGCCTGCACCCTGCACCCTGCAGCTGCTCGCCACCAACCCCGTCCCGACAGAGCCGGCTACGAGAGAGCACGCGGCGCGATTAGGCCGCGCTCGCGACCTCGTCCTTGCCTTCCAACCAAGATCGGGGCCGTTCCGTTCCCTCGTTTGTACTCGCTTGTGCTCGCTTGCACCAGGCCGTTCTCGCTTGCGCTCGCACTCGCACTCGCACTCGCTTGCTCGCTCGCTCGCTAGTTGCGCGCGGTTTTCTTTGAGCGCGACACCACAGCACGGAATGCGTTGACCCTTTCGACCGGCCACGAAGACACCGTAGCCGTCTTTGCCGTGCCCTGGACCGACCGAGATCAAATCGCCGGCGATAACCCTCAACACCTGTCAAAGCACCTTTCAAGCCTGTTTACACGGCCGAGGGGTCACGCTTGCTCCGATAAGGAAATTACGACGCCGCTTTCAGTGTCAAGTTCGGTGGCATTTCGGACTGGCCTGCCGGAAGTTTGGCTACATAGAATTGTAACTTGCTCAATGACGGCGCTGGGGTAAGTACTCAGCGGTCTAACACGCGGTCCTCTTGACAGGGCAGACCTTTCAGGAAGGGTACACTTGTTCTTGAAGAAAGAGGTGCGACCTCGAGTCGCCTGTTATACCTAAAAAGATTGTCTACATTTGAATCATGTTTCGTCGAATGATTCACAACAGATGTCTGCGCAACTTCGACACCATCTGGGGTTTGTCCGTTGGGAACACAAAGAGGCTATTCAATCTTTGTCCTCGTTATAAATTAATCGAAAGCGAAATTATTTAACGACGATTGTTAGAACTGGCCGGAATAATGAATGGCGACGCGTAATACAGACCCTGTCTGTTTATATTGCGATTCGAACTCGAATTCAAACTCTAAGATTCATCTTTTTACGGACGACATGACTTCGAAATTTTGAGGCTCTGGAAGGGAAACGCAAAAATAAGTCTGAAAAATACGGCTTCGCTTTCGAGAAAGAGGAGAACAGCGACCGACCTCTGTTCGAATGAACTTTTATGAACCCCTTGCCGCATGTTCTATTAAAAGCTACATTGATTTCAATTTGTTTATAGTTAGTGATTTATATTTAGTGTATGCGAACGTTTAATCCAGTGATCAAATATTGCCAATAAAGAAGTATAATTCTATTTCGGTATCGAAGAAATTAATAATATTTAGGTTCTATAAATCCTGTTCGTGATCTTCAGAACGAGTCTGGCATGATATTTTGAGGAAGAGAGTTAAACATTCGTTACAGGTATTTATGGATAAACCTTCACGACAATTATATTGAGTGTATCAGAACGATCCACCGAGTAAATTTTGGACGTCTCGTCCATGAAGTGTAACATCGAAACTAATCGATTTCGGCTTCTACTACTAATCGGCTTCCAATTAGAATTTACGCAAACAAAGGTATTCCGAGAGTTCAAAATACATCGTGCGCTTCTTAGGAGAACGCTAAAATTCGTGCACGATTGAATCGCCTCCGGAGTCGAGTGTTTCAAAGATGGCAGACGCTGCGGCCGGGGTTTCGAATCCACCCGGTGCATTAAGATGCTCGTAAGCAAATCCGAGCGCTATATATTTCCGAGCGGTGCGAGGATCGATAGGAAGCACGGGGATTTAAAGGCCCGTAATTGATTTCCTGCCGCGGGTCGGTCGGTCGCTGGAATTCCATTCTGCAGACGCCCTTTACCCTTTCACGGGGCTCCCCGGATCAGCCCACGCGTGCTGGGCGTGGCGAGAAATCATTCCGTGACCGAGAAAACCTGGAAGATCCTCGTCGAAGGTCAAACGATCATTCGTGGTCGCCGCCGAGGGTAGAGATCGCATCTCGTCTCCCTTCCTGCCGGGTAGCAATATTGATCAACCGTTGCAGCGGACGAACTTTGACATTTGCGGCGTTATTGTGGAACAAGCTGCGACCAATTGACGGAAAACGGTGCGTATTCCGCGCGGCCCAGAACCGGCCAGATGCATTCGCGTGCACTGCCAGTCAAAATATGCGACCGGTGACCTTTCGCACGGTAAATACGCATTCTCGTCCGATGGCCGAGGATGATATTGGCCCGAGTGAAGTCCTCCGCAAACGAATACTTTTCTTTTCCCTCGACATTTTATCTGGCGAACCAGTATCGTGGAAAGTTCCGCGGAACCGAAGTAATTTGCTTAGGCAAATAAAGATTGGAGAACCGAACTGTACTGCCAGCACCCTTTCAAGGTTTTTATGTTCTCAACTTCTGGCGATCCTGGTCCTTTCGTTTCGATCGCCGTGCGCGTTTGATTAAAAAATAAGACCCATTAGATTGAGTTATTTCGAGACGTTGAAAGGTCTAAATTACCAGACGCCGAATGAACAAAATTTTGCAAAAATTCCAATTCCACGGAATAACGAAATAAAAATTAAATAACGACGTGCTTTAATCAGTTCGATGGTTTTCACGAGGTATGCTCGTCGCGAAGAAATGTCCTTCGAACAGCTCGAAAAGACTGGACTCGTTAGAACCAGTTTGAAAAAAGTTATTCCGTTTCAAGAGATGCACGCAGACTTTTTCCACGGAGTGTATATCGTCTCCTTTTAAAAGCATTTATCGAAGGTCGCGCGGAGAAGCATTATATAAAGATCTCCGCGGTGTACAAAGGAATAGAAAGAAGCCTAGTGGACCGAGGAGCTGGTCTTTGCGAGTCCGAACAATGCCATTTAGCCGAGGAAAGAGGAAGAATCGAAAGCTGCTTTTGTTGCAGGGCTGCTCGTTGAGGTGAATTGTTTTTGATAGTTGTAAAACGGCCGGCAGCACGTGTTGTTGCTCCTCGTCGGAGGGGCAACAGTTCCCGTCAACAACGGCTCTCTCGATATAACCATTAAGCCGATGTCGAACGAGTCGTCAGCGTTTCGAAGCGCTTGGGTCAAGGTTCCGATATTGTCGCTGCTCGGACGCCTTTCGCCGCGGCCGCTCAAGGTGGCTCTTGTCAGCGCGGCTGATTCAGGCTGATCCCACCGGCTTCCGTGTATTGACACCCGAGCATCGAGCGGAGCGGCCGCGTCCGTAATTCTATAATTAAGCGCGACTTTAATTGGGGTTCACCGAACGAATCTGGGACGCCCACTCGTCGTTCTTTCGCGGCGCCCTTGTGTTCTCAATACACGAGGGTGATATTCGAGGGCGCGTCACGTGGCCCCGCAGGGGAATCGATGCCGATGGACGATCCAGATTTATCTCGCGATACGCGGGAGCTGATATCCCGAACGCTGTTTCCGCTGGCACACGCACGCGTCCCGTACTTCCGATCGTTCCGATAAGCGAGACGGTCCACGAACTTCCTTTCGTACCTGTTATTACAGTTTTCTGGGGACCAGGTCGAGCGGTCTTGTGCTTCAACAGTTTTCTTGGAAGCATCGCTTTTGATGTTGAATATTAGATTGCAGATAAAATGGGAAGTCCTTATCGTTGAAACTGTCGGGCTGGTAAAAGTGACCCATTTCAGATTGATTACACTTTCCTGAAGTTACTGAGGTGGCTTCAAGCGCGACCTTGGGGAGTAATATTTTTCTGGACTCGTTTTTCGGAGACGAACATTATAGAAGAAAACTTTCTGTCGCATCAACTGGACTCGCGCTGCTGTTTAAATTGCGCCTGTTCATTGATGAATGCATAAAATAGTCACTGGACACATTGAATCGCTTCGATTTAACCCTTTGGCATACAATGACGTGTAGGAGGCGGCTTTAGATGCACAATTATCGTAATATTATCTAACTTATCAAATGACATTGGAAGTATAAATTGAAGAACACAATTATCTTATATATATTTATTCGTTATGCATATTTATTATACACGTGTATCATATACATATTTGTTATATATATTTATTTCTTGTGCCGCAAAAATTATCCAGAGTCCAAACAATTTATCCAATGGAGTAAAAACTGTAATGTTAAGATAATTTCTTGTACAATTAATACATTCACATTGTTAGCTTCTTGCAATCATTTCACTGTTTTAAATAACGCTTACTGATTTTTACCACGAACGCATAACTCTCGCAGTCCATGTAATAATCACTAAAAATATTTGTTCGTCAATCTGGACAAGCAACTCCATGTATGAACAACATCGACTCATGTTTCATTTATGTGCCAAGGGGTTAACGACGTGTTAAACGAGTTTCGTTTCGGTCGTCTTGCGACAGGAAATAAAGGCTGACGCATCGTCACCGAGACGACCGAAGAGTCGACGACGTGTCGTCGATTAGCCAGTGC